AGGTGTTCCCGGTGTGCAGGGCAGAGTAGACAATAGCAGTGATCCAGGCACTAGTGGCCATGTGGACACAGGCTCCCCTATTCATCACTCTCTCATAGTGCAGTGGTCGGCAGATGGCAACGTATCGGTCATAGGCCATAAGGGTGAGTAAGGCAAGATCTGCTGCAGTGAAGACTACAAAGAAGAAAACTTGGGTGACACAGGCAGGATAGGAAATCAACCTGGTGTCTAGGAGGGAGTTGACCATGGATTTGGGGATGGTGACAGAGATGCAGCCAAGGTCTATAATGGACAGGTTGCCCAGGAAGAAGTACATGGGGGTGTGCAGACGGTGGTCGAGGGCGATGGCTATGAGGATGAGAAGGTTCCCCATCAGGGCTGCTAGGTAAAGCACAAGGAAAAGTGCAAAGTGCAAAACCTGCAGCTCCCGGATGTCAGAGAAGCCCAGGAGCAGCAACTCGGTCACGGTGCTTTGGTTGAACATTTTCTTCTTCAGTTCACTGTGTGTTGACTGAGGAGGGAAGGACACAGACAGGGTGGGGATTAGAGTGTTACATGGAATGGCCTACAGTACCCTCTCATGTTGTGGATGTCCACCATGCCCAGTGTCAGTCCCAGCTACTCCCTAGCGGCAGTGAGTTACACACGGGTATCAAATGGCCCGGCTCCCAGTCAGGCCATGGAGCTGCATCTCTTTGCACCATCCAAAGACCTGGGAATGGTGTAGGATGGCTTAGGATCGGGCTGGATTAAAAGCTCTGTGAAGGATGGAACAAAGCACAATCCCACCTGCAACAGCTCCAGCCAAGAGGGATCCCCTGTTGCTACAAGCAGCAAGCCCTGGGCACGGGCATGAAAGAAAAATTCCATCAGTGCCTGAAAACCACTTTCTGGGGAAATGTGAGACACATAGTGACTCAGTATCCTGCATGGCAGCTCATCTGTCAAATTCCATTGCAACATTCCATGGACGTCCCACTGCCTCCGTATTGATTCATGACATTAGATCCCAGCTCCACCTCTCTGAACAGGTGGGCTAGCAACAGCTCCCAGCAATGGTTGTTGTATATCACAGAATCATAAAATCATATGGTTACAAGAGACCTGGAGGCATCGAGTCCAGGCCTTTGCCCAAAGCAGGATCAACGTCAAATCAATCGTCCCAACCAGGTTTTGGTCCAGCCAGGACTTAAACATGTCTAAGGATGGAGATTCCACCCCCTCCCTAGGGCACCCGTCCCAGTGCTTCCCCACCATCCTAGTTTTTCCAAATATCCAACCTAGACTTGACCCGCTACAACTTGAGACCATTACTCTTCGTTCCACCCTCTGTCACCACTGAGAACAGCCTCTCTCCAGCCTCTTTGGGACTCTAAGTCAGGGAGCTGAAGGCTGCTCTCAAATCCCCCCTCACTCTTCTCTTCTGCAGACTAAACAAGCCCAAATCCCTCATGTTCTCCTTCTAACTTATGTGCCTCAGCTACTAATCAATTTGCTTGCCCTCCGATGGACTCTCTCCAGTGCATTCACACCCTTTCTGTAATGGGGGGCCCAGAATTGAATGCACTACCCCAGATGTTGCCTCCCCAGTTCCCTAACTTAATGCAAGGTCAGAGTCTGATTGTGCCAGGACGATGAGAAGTGCCTTGAATGGGACTGGTTTCCATAACATGAATAGAGAGGGGGCTGATTGGAGAGACATCGATACTACAGGATGACCACTGGAGGCAGCGAGCGCGGGGGACAGCAATACCGCCTGATGACCACAGGAGCGGGGCAACACCAGCAAGAGAGTGGCCAGCTGGGGAAGGAGCTTCCCATGTTGCCGGCCACTGGATGAGTGGACCAGCTGCAGGCCAAGACAACCCCTGCAGCCCTGTGGCTGGGGTGGGGGTGGGAGGAGAGAGCAGGAAGATGCCGGGCACGGTCCCCCTGCCAGGCAGCCTGGAAGCCGAACGGCCTGTGGAGCCCAACCCCCCTGAACAGATGGAGGGTGGAGGAGAACCAGCTGAAGACCGGGGATGGTTCTTGGATCCCTGACCCCCAACCTCAGAAGGAGCCTCAAACTGGGGAGCACAGCCCCATGACCTTGGAAAAGCCTCCAGCTTTCCCCTTGCCATCATGGTCAAGCCCTGTGAGCTCCCCCAATGTTCCAGGACCATAGTCCAGAGTCCCCCCTACCCTGAGTGCTGCACCATCCACCCCCTGGCTTGGGTCTTGCACTTCAACACCCTATTCCCCCTGTCCTGAGCTACTCTTTAACCTCAGTGCCTTACCCCAGCCCCCTCCCCTCACAGCCTCAAACTGGGGAGCACAGCCCCATGACCCTGGAAAAGCCTCCAGCTTTCCCCTTGCCATCATGGTCAAGCCCTGTGAGCTCCCCCAATGTTCCAGGACCATAGTCCAGAGTCCCCCCTACCCTGAGTGCTGCACCATCCACCCCCTGGCTTGGGTCTTGCACTTCAACACCCTATTCCCCCTGTCCTGAGCTACTCTTTAACCTCAGTGCCTTACCCCAGCCCCCTCCACTCACACCAACCCCCAGCCCTGAGTCCCTCCTCATCTCCAAACCCTGACTCCTTTACCCCTTCTCTTCTACATCCTGCCCTGAGCCCCACCAACACCTCACACCCCTGCACTCACACCTGTACCCCTTCTCCCTACCATGAGTCCTATACCCCACTCCATTCTCTGAACCCCCACCTCCTGCCCTGACTCCTGCACACTCCACCTTCCGCTCTGAGCCCCATCATTCAAATCAAGCACATACATTGCCCTTTAATTAACAAGTCCCAACTTTACTATAGTTAAGGACCTGAGTAACGCCAGGCACCTCTACTAGTGTATAATAAATAGCACATTAACATCCCATCCACGTGAAATAAATCATTTAAATGGAAATCATGAATTCTTCATCCCTGGGGAAAGGAAATCTTCCAGTCTCTCAGTGTATGTCTACACTGCAGAGTTTTTCCAGAAAAATGTCCGTTTTTCCAGAAAAACTACACTTACGTCCACACTGCAATTGTATTCTTGCTACAATAAGTCGAAAGAGCAGAGAGGGCTTTCCGACAGGGGTAAACCTCATTCTACAAGGAAGAAGCCTTTTTTCCGAAAGAGCCCTTTCAGAAAAAGGCATGTGTGGATGGGGAAAAGGTTTTTTTTCATCTTCAAGAAATGAGGCCTCCAGGAAAATGCACAGGTGCCCTGGTGTCCACTCTGTCCGCAGCCATTAGAATTTAAATGTGAGATAGCGTCCCATCCATGTGGATGCTCTCTTTCAAAAGAAGTCTTTTTGGAAGATCTCTTCCAGAAAAACCTCTTCCGAAAGAAGCCTGCAGTCTAGACATAGCCTCAAAAAAACCATTCAAAGAGATTCTGACATTGACACCTTGAATAGATGACAAAATCAACTGATGCCCCCACTTAATTCTACATATTTCATCCAGCAAATTCCTACCTCACAAATGTCAGCTGGAACAAAGAAACAAGGCAGCCAAGGAATCGCTAAAATGCAATAAATGGAAAAAGCAAATACCTAAGCCAAAGTTCTCATACCCCCACCACAATTTTATCCCCGAACAGGAGAAGAGGAAGAGACTTCACAAAGACCACTAGTGACTTAGCTGTGGCTATTGATCTTCTGTGCAAAATGTTGTGCAATTGTGATATTAAATCCCTGTGAGAGAGGGACAGGTGTGTATCTAGATGGAGGGGTATGAGGAGCACATTCTGCTATTATTTACACTGGTCTAATGCCAAATTAATCCATTTAATTTCAGTGGCACTAGTGCATCTATCATAAAGAAGCTGAGGCTGCAATCACAAACCCTGAAGGACATTTCACTTCATGGAGATAAACCTCCACCCCATCCATTTCTTGAGGGCCGCTCTGATCTCCTTGTTCCTCAGGCTGTAGATGACCGAATTCAGCATGGGAGGCACCACAGTGTACAGAACACCCACCGCCAGATCCAGATTAGATGCTGAGCTGGAGGTGGGCTTCAAGCTCTCTTTTTCATCGCTTTCTCATAGTGCAGGGGCTGGCAGATGGTGATGTATCAGTCGTAGGCCATGATGGAGAGTAAGGCAAGATCAGTTGAAGTGAAGACGACAAAGAGAAAGACTTGGGCGACACAGCCAGGGTAGGAAATCAACCTGGTGTCCAGGATGGAGTTGGCCATGGATTTTGGGATGGTGACAGAGATGGAGCCAAGGTATCGGATTCTCTAGGAAGAAGTTCAGGGGAGTGTGAAGACAGTGGTCGAGGGCTATGACTGAGATGATGAGCAGATTCCCCACCAAGTCTGCCAGGTAAAGCACTAGAAATACCACAAAATGCAAAACCTGCAGCCCTCGAATGTCAAGAGAACCCCCCAAGCAGGAACTCAGTCATGGTGGTTTGGTTGGACATTTTCTTCCTCAGTTCACAGTTGGTTGTCTCATTCCTAAATGCCCAGTTGAAAATTACATCCATAACTCCCGAATCCAAAAGATAAAAAACCACATAATCATGTAATTTACTTTCAGCTTTCCATGGGACTTTTGTCATTTTTAAAGTTAAGCATTGGCTTACGTGTATTTCCAGATCAGGGTCTTAGTTTACCGTTCTCCATGGAGTTGAGTTTTAAATTCATAATCATCCTAAGGGACATAGCTAGGTCTGTAGGCATGTTTATGGACAGATACTTACAGTCAGATCTTCCTTACACTGTTACGATTGAAAATTAACTCATTCAATGCCATTGACATTAGTCTGGATTTTATGACTTCCTAATAAGGTGCATCCAATCTTATCAAGGAGGGAATTTTGTCATCAGTTTATTGGATCTACAAAGGAGCTCAGTGAAATTACAGTCCAGGCAGTGAAATTACAATCCAGACCTTAATTCTTGGTGAATAACCTCCACATGATCAGTTTCTTTGGTCTATGAAGAAGCTCAGAATGAAATTGCAGTCAAGACACAATGAGAGGCACTTTAATTCTTGGCGTGTAACCTTCACACAATAAGTTTCTTTAATGCAACTTGGAGCTCCTTGTTCCTCAGGCTGTAGATGACCGGATTCATCATGGGGGGTACCAGGGAATAAACAACAGTCACCGTGAGATCCAGATACGATGCTGAGCTGGAGGTGGGTTTCAGATATTCAAAGAAGCCAGTGCAAAGGAACAAAGAGACTACTGTGAGGTGGGGGAGGCAGGTGGAGAAGGCTTTGTGCCGGCCCTGCTCCGAGGGGATTCTCAGCACCACTCTGAAGATCTGAACATACGACACAATGATAAAAACAAAGCAATTCAAATTTAAAAACACACCGAAGGCAATAAGCCCAACTTCACTGAGGAAGGAGTCGGAGCAGGCCAGTTTGAGGAGCTGGGGGATTTCACAGAAGAACTGGTCGACGACGTTGGACTGGCAGAAGGGTAACGTGAAGGTGTTCCCGGTGTGCAGGGCAGAGTAGACAATAGCAGTGATCCAGGCACTAGTGGCCATGTGGACACAGGCTCCCCTATTCATCACTCTCTCATAGTGCAGTGGTCGGCAGATGGCAACGTATCGGTCATAGGCCATAAGGGTGAGTAAGGCAAGATCTGCTGCAGTGAAGACTACAAAGAAGAAAACTTGGGTGACACAGGCAGGATAGGAAATCAACCTGGTGTCTAGGAGGGAGTTGACCATGGATTTGGGGATGGTGACAGAGATGCAGCCAAGGTCTATAATGGACAGGTTGCCCAGGAAGAAGTACATGGGGGTGTGCAGACGGTGGTCGAGGGCGATGGCTATGAGGATGAGAAGGTTCCCCATCAGGGCTGCTAGGTAAAGCACAAGGAAAAGTGCAAAGTGCAAAACCTGCAGCTCCCGGATGTCAGAGAAGCCCAGGAGCAGCAACTCGGTCACGGTGCTTTGGTTGAACATTTTCTTCTTCAGTTCACTGTGTGTTGACTGAGGAGGGAAGGACACAGACAGGGTGGGGATTAGAGTGTTACATGGAATGGCCTACAGTACCCTCTCATGTTGTGGATGTCCACCATGCCCAGTGTCAGTCCCAGCTACTCCCTAGCGGCAGTGAGTTACACACGGGTATCAAATGGCCCGGCTCCCAGTCAGGCCATGGAGCTGCATCTCTTTGCACCATCCAAAGACCTGGGAATGGTGTAGGATGGCTTAGGATCGGGCTGGATTAAAAGCTCTGTGAAGGATGGAACAAAGCACAATCCCACCTGCAACAGCTCCAGCCAAGAGGGATCCCCTGTTGCTACAAGCAGCAAGCCCTGGGCACGGGCATGAAAGAAAAATTCCATCAGTGCCTGAAAACCACTTTCTGGGGAAATGTGAGACACATAGTGACTCAGTATCCTGCATGGCAGCTCATCTGTCAAATTCCATTGCAACATTCCATGGACGTCCCACTGCCTCCGTATTGATTCATGACATTAGATCCCAGCTCCACCTCTCTGAACAGGTGGGCTAGCAACAGCTCCCAGCAACCTCCCTGCTGTGTCATTGCCTCTCATAGAATCATGGAATCCCATGGCTGGAAGAGACCCCAGGAGTCATCGAGTCCAGCCCCCTGCTCAAAGCAGGACCAATCCCAATACAATCAACCCAGGCAGGGCTTTGTCAAGACAGGACTTAAACATGTCTAGGGATGGAAATTCCACCCCCTCCCTAAGAAACCCGTCCCAGTGCTTCCCCACCATCCTAGTTTTTCCAAATATCCAACCTAGACTTGACCCGCTACAACTTGAGACCATTACTCTTCGTTCCACCCTCTGTCACCACTGAGAACAGCCTCTCTCCAGCCTCTTTGGGACTCTAAGTCAGGGAGCTGAAGGCTGCTCTCAAATCCCCCCTCACTCTTCTCTTCTGCAGACTAAACAAGCCCAAATCCCTCATGTTCTCCTTCTAACTTATGTGCCTCAGCTACTAATCAATTTGCTTGCCCTCCGATGGACTCTCTCCAGTGCATTCACACCCTTTCTGTAATGGGGGGCCCAGAATTGAATGCACTACCCCAGATGTTGCCTCCCCAGAGCTGAATAAAGGGGAATAATGACTTCTCTAGATCTGCTGGCAATGCTCCTTCCAATGCACCCTAATATGCAATTAGCCTTCTTGGCTACAAGGGCGCCCTGTTGACTCGTCTCCAGCTTCTCAGCCACTGTAATCTCCAGGTTCTTTTCTGCTGAACTACTGTTTAGCCAGTCGGTCCCCAGCCTGTAACAATGCTTGGGATTCTTCTTTCCCAAGTGCAGGATTCTACACTTGTCCTTGTTAAACCTCATAAGATATCTTTTGGCCAAGTCCTCTACTCTGTTCAGGTCACTCTGGACCCTTTCCCTGCCCTCAAATGTATCTATCTCTTCCCCTAGTTTAGTGTCATCTGCAAATTTGCTGAGGGTGCAATCCATCCCCTCATCCAGATCACTAATAAGGATGTTAAACCAAATTGGCCCTGGAACGATCCATGGGGCACTCTGATTCAAACCAACCACCGACCCGACATTGAGCCATTGATCACTACCCGTTTGGCCCGACAGTCTAGCCAACTTTCTATCCACATCACAGTCCATTTATCCAATCCATGCTTACTCAACTGCTGGCAAGAATATTGGGGGTCACAGTATCAAAAGCTTTGCTGAAGTCAAGGTAGATCACATCCACTGACTTTCCCATGTCCACAGAGCCAGTTACCTCATCCTAGAAGCTAATCAGATTGGTCAGGCACGACTTGCCCTTGGTGAATCCATGCTGACTATTCCTGATCACTTTCTGCTTTTCCAAGTCCTTCAAAATTGTTTCCTTGAAGATCCCCTCCATGATGTTTCCGGGGACCGAGATGAGGCTGACTGGTCTGTAGTTCCCTAGATTATCTTTCTGCTCTTTCTTTAAGACGGATACTACATTTGCCTTTTCCCAATCATCTGGGACCTCTCTTTGATTCTGAGGAGCTATTGGGACACTTGAATTCTATTCTTGATTCTACTACTGACCTGCCATGTGATATCAGGCTGGTCACTTACCTTTGCTGTGCCTCTGTTTCCCTTTCCTCCCTTTCTATGCTTTGTCTGCTGGGACTGCTGGCTGTCAGGGGGTTGCACTGTGCGTTATGTGTGCTTTCGGTGCCTCTCTTTGCAGCACTTGTAGTTAGCTGACAGCAGTAGAGAGGTCATATGATGGTAGAGCTGACTGTCTAGGTGCTAATCTCATTGACCTCCCCTATATGGTTGGGCACAGTTAACTGATACAGGCTTTGGCTAGTGGTGGAGGGGGTCAATTCACTGTTCCCATTGAAGGCATTAATATGTTTAATACCTGTGCTATGGGCTTCCCACTTTGCTGCTTGCTCCTTCTTACCATTCAACAAGTCAACAGAAACACATCATAGCAACATAGTGAGTGGGTGCAGATTTTACTATTTCTAGACTAGACCAGCGTTCCCATCCAGTTTCAATCTAAGACACCAGTGTGGGAAACTCAGACATTTTCTGTTTAAATTATATCAAAGAAACACCGGCGATTCAACTCACAACAACTTCTGGGGAGTTCTGTTACTCTTGAAGGAAAACCTGTGCTGTGGAAAACTCAGAAAATTGATTTTCCTTCCTTTACCTGAAAATTTTTCCATTTCTGGTGGTTTGGCTGAAATATTCTGGTTCTTATTGAACAAAAACAAAAGTTTGGTTTTCACAATGGGGAGAACAAGTCAACAGGAAAAAAAAAACAAACCTTCCAAACCCCTGCAAACATTTCATTAAATACAGATAACAAGTCGTGAATGGTTCCCCTTGTCACTCCCAGTTCCATTATGAAATGTGACCAGGACATTCACACCTAACCCTGTTGGACTGAAATAACAAACTCACCATCCTGGGCTTTGCGGGATACTTCCCAGCCTGTGCTGCGCCAGAAACTTCACTGCCGGGATTCTGCCGTTATTGCCTGTCTGTGAATAATGCCCCTTGGCTGATTTATCCAGCAGCTGGTTCCTGCATCCTCCCTTGTATTTCCCCGTTTCGGGCAGGCTTGGACGAGAGGCGAAGGACTAAACAGGAGGGGAGTAGAAAGTCCTCTTGCCCTGCAGTTGAGAAAGTGATCCTGGCTTGTTCAGGCCGCAAACATGGTCACAGCTTCGGCTGTCCTTGCTCTGGGGCTAAGTACCTAAACCCGGTCTCTAGGGCTAGGAGCCCAGCTCTGATCTCACCTGTGGAGCAAACCACCCTGTCACCCTGCCCTAGCTGATCTGGACCCACAGAAGGGGAACAGGACCTGCCCCAGATCTCACACCATGACAGCATCCCTGGAAGGCATCTGGCTACATACAAGACAGGGCTGAGGAGCTGTGGGAAGGAGATTGCAGAAGAAGCTATTTATGGCTAGCACAGGCATGTGACAGAGAACAGCCCAGAGCTGCCGCGCACCAGAGCCCCAGCTGGCCTGGGACAGCCTGCTCCTTCGTTAACCCCACACGATCCGCTCTGGAACAGCAGAGGTTTTTTGTCTTCTTTGCTGCACCAGCAACTCTTGGGATGCAGCCCCCAGAGGACCCCAGAGCTCAGGCTGCCCCGGGTGGTTGACTTTGGTCAGAAGGAAGTGGCCGGCGGGAAACTCAGCGCAGCGTCCTAAGCTGCTGTCAGTTGATACAGTCTCCCTGCATTCCGTGTAATTAGGCTTGTCAAGGGGAGATGCAGCTGTTTGGTTTCAAGCGAACTACATTTATTGCACCAGCTGACAGGGGCTCAGGGAAGGGGGCTGGGGACGTGAGGGGTTCAGGAGTCAGGGCTGGGGATTGGGGAGGGGCAAAGGCTGGGGAGTGTTGGGGATGCAGAAGTCAGGGTTTGGGGATGAGAAGCGGCTCAGGAAAGCAGGGTGTAGTGTTGGGGGTTGCGAGGCTGAGGGTGGGGGTTTGGAGATGTGGGGCTGCAGGAGTGAGGGTTGAGGGCAGGGAGGGACTCATGGAAGGGGTTAGTGTGTGGGAGCACTGCAGTGAGGGTTCCTGGATGAAGAGGGGCTCAGGGCAAGGGACTGCAGAAGTGGGGGTCTGGTGGCAGACGCTCCCCATGGTTTGGTTCAGTGAGGGCTGTGCTAAATGGACAGTGGCAGCTCTCCAGGGCAGGGTGAGGCCACTCCCCAGGTCTGGTTGCTCCAGTGATTGGCTGGGGGTGGCTCCTGGGGGCTTGCCGTGTCCAGAAGGTGGCTTCCCGGGGCCAGTGGCAGAGGGGACCTTCTTTCCCCAGGCTGCAAGCAGGAACCTTACCTGCCCCTGGGCCCCTTATATCTCCAGTTCCCATCTCTGGCCGCTTGCTGCCCCCTTGTGGCATGACGCAGTATAAATGTCCCTCTGGCAGCCTCCTCCCTTTCCATGTTATGGAGAATAGTCACATTCCAGACACATCCCATTGCCCTGGCACTACCACACCCTGTTCTTTCTTTGAGTTATGATAAGAAGCTGCCTATCAAATTTGGTGGTCCTAGCTCTTACGGTTTTGGAGCAGTTTTTCAGCAAACAGTCAGATGGACAGACAGACTCACTCAATCACAGATAAACAAGCTCTTTCAAATATATAAGAGAAGAAGACACACTAAATTTATAACTAAGATCTTCCATTCAACTCCAGAGGTACTGAGATTCCCTTCTCCCTGCTATTTAGTTGCCTGATGGTTGGGTCTACAATACGGAGCAGGAAAATGATTTGCCTGGCATTTCAACTGTACAGCCAGCATAATTCCAGCCTTTTATTTGGTCCTCATCTCTCCAAGTGTCTGATTTCCACAGTATATACATTCATCTTTATCCTGGTCACTCTCCTCACATGAGAACTGACATATATAGTTTTTATCCTGCTGCCATGAAATTATTTTCCACCTTACCTGGTGTTCTATCTCCTACCACTGAGTGGAAAATGGGACCCCTACTACCATTGACAGTTCTTTAATAGCTGCATAGATTCCAAAGCCTAAAGGAATCCGCCCATATAACGTGAGGAACAAGACTTCCCCAAAATCATTTCTACAGTAGACCTTTGAGAACAACTTCCATTCTTCATTTAAAAATTCTCAGAGAGGTCGTATCTACCTCAACTTAATTATACTCACCATTAAAATGTACAGCATATTTCCAATCTGAACTTGTCTTCAACATTTGGGCATTGGATGTTATTAGATCACTGTCTAAATGATTGATGAGACCATGGTTAAATATTAGTTCCCCAGATAGATACTTATCAACAGCAATCAAGTCAATCTTCACCATAATTTTGTTAAGGTACATAGGTTGTGTTCCTTCAACCTGTCACTACAAGGCCTGGATTCAAATCCATTATTCATCTTCATGCCTTTTCTGAATCCTGTCCTATTTATCAATATTCCTCGTGAATTGTGGGCACTAAAACGGAACACAATATTCTGACACGAGTGTCAAATACAGATGTCAACTAATTTCTCGGCTCTACTTTACATTTTCCCCTGTCTATGCATCCCATTTAGGGGCACACTTCATGAAAGACGTGGAGGAACTGGAGAGGGTCCAGAGAAAAGCAGAAAAAACTCACCTAGAAAACATGACCTATAAAGGAACACTGAAAGAATTGGATTTGCTTAGCTTAGAAAAGACACGGCTGAGAGGGGACATGCTAGCAATTTTCAAGTATCTAAAGGGGTGCTACAAGGAAGAGGGAGAAAAAATTATTCTCCTTGACCTCTGAGGATAGGGCAAGAAGCAATGGGCTTCAATTGTGGCAAAGGAGGTTTAGCTTAGACATTAGGGAAAACTTCCTACCTGTCAGGGTGGTGAAACACTGGAATAAATTGCTGGGGGAGGTTGTCCCTGGGGATATTTATCCCTGGAGCTATTTAAGAGCAGGTTGGACAGACAGCTATCAGGGATGGTCTAGACGGTGCCTGGTCCTGCTGGTAGGGCAGAGACTGGACTTGATGACATAGAGTCCAGTTCTAGTGTTCTAGGACTCTATGATGGTTAGAAAGGAAAGTGGAGGGAGACCCAGAGTTGGATGGGGTAGATGGGCTTCTTTATTACATTTAATCCTTCCGCCTCGAAACCAACCATTCAAGTGAGCAGTACATTAATGACATCACATGTCATGTATCAAAGTGGAATGAGGAGTAACAGTTAATCTGAACTAAGTCCTAAGTTCGGATTAACGTTAAACTGCCGCGTGTAGCCGTGGGCAGTTCGTTCGGACTAAGGGGGACTTAAAAATGGTGGCCGGATGGGAACATGAAAATAAAGCATGCGATATTTAAATCCTGGGCTTCATTTGCAATCCCGGTTCCCTGATTTGCCTACCTAGCTCGAATTAATGAGCTAGTGTAGATATACCCTTAATTAGTAACTAGCAACGGGGAGAGAAGGAGCCATTGCCCTGAACGCACTTTATATAGCTGAGAAGAGGGAAGGGAGGATAACACTGCTTTTACACACAGAGAATTCATTAGAAAGTTACATTACTTGTACAGCTGCTCAGTCTTATCTACCTTAACAAGCAGGAAGGGAGGGGAAACAAACTTCATCCATCAAACAAAAGAAAAATGCTTGCCTATCAAAAAGAATATTGCCTGCCTTATGCCATACACATACATTGATAACAATTATCCAGGACTGTAGGTAAGTCTTATATAGCCCAAAATATCTGCAGACACTACTACCCAAAGATCTCCCCTCATTATTTAGAAGGGAACGTTCAGGTCTGAAGAGAATGAGTGTCACTGAATTCTGTGGAAGGGGACGAAACCCAGAACCACTCACAAGAATGTGACCAGTAGTGTGCATGTGCAGAGGAATGAAGCAAGAGTATTTTACAGAAACACTCAGTAAAGAACTACAGTTTTGATAAAGAGTGCTTCTAACAGTAACAAAGTTTGTAGAAAGAAAGAAAGAAAGAAAGAAAGACTCAAGTGGGCCGTAAAGAAAGAAAGAAAGAAAGAAAGAAAGAAAGAAAGAAAGAAAGAAAGTCAGACTCAAGTGGGCCGCATGTAAGAAGAACTATATCAGTTTATCTCGATGTTACGATATGTTGAAATTTGTCCTCTGCTTATTTCTGAAAGAGACCGATTTAAGAATGGTTTTTCTCAGGCACTCCATGACCTCCTTGTTTCTCAGGCAGTAGATGACGGGGTTGATCATGGGACTCAGGACTGTGTAGAAGACAGACAATATTTTGTGAAGGACTTTGGGCGTGTTAACAGTTGGAGCCACATACACAGTGATCAGGGTCCCGTAGTAAAGTGTCACCACAATGAGGTGGGAGGAGCAGGTGGAAAAGGCCTTTTGCCTCCCGGTGGTGGACGGGATTCTCAGGATGGCGGTGATGATGCAAATGTAGGACGCCAGAGTCAGTAGACAGGGCACAACAATCCACAGGGTAGCGACCGTAAATGCCAGCAGTTGCAGATTTTGGGTGCTGTCACAGGACAGCTTTACAATGGGTGAAAAATCGCAGAAGAAATGGTCGATTTCATTGGAATCACAGAACGTTAATTGGTACAAGAAGATATTTACTGTGGTGCAGCCCAGAAGGCTACTTATCCAGGACCCGGCCACCAGCTGGCCACACACCCGGCCGTTCATCAGAGCAGCGTAACGCAGGGGGTTGCATATCGCTAGATACCGATCGTACGACATGGCCGCGAGCAGAAAATTTTCTGTAGCTGACATGATACCAAAGAAATATTCTTGAACAAAGCAGCCCTTCACAGAGATGGTTCTGTTCCCAGTCAGGAGACTGGCCAGCAACCTGGGCAGGATGGTGGATGTGTAGCAGGTCTCCAAGCAGGCCAAGTTGCCCAGGAAGAAGTACATGGGAGTGTGAAGGTGCTGATCAGCTACAACTAGTACAATGATGAGGAGGTTCCCGGCCAAAATCACAAGGTAGATCACTAGGAACAGCAGGAAGTAGAGGGGCTGCAGTTCAGGGACCTCTCCAAATCCTAATAGGATGAATTCAGCAATGGGCGTTTGATTTCTTCCCTCCACTTTCTCCATCATCTGTAACTAGAAAAAGAAATCCATGAAATATTGAGGGAATAACTGCAGCAGATTATGCCGTCAGTTACGCTGTCAGAGAGCCGGAGTGGGAGCCACCTCTGAATCTCTCTACTAGAAACATCAAGTTGTCTTTGAACAGCAAAAGGCTCCTGTAATGAATGTGTCGGGCTTCCAGTGTAGGTGAACCAGGAGCACGGAACTCAATTGAATGATAGGAATGTCCCATCTAAGGCCAGGTCTACACTACAAAGATCAATCAGAAAAAGAAACACAATTGGTGGTACACAAATTGCACATCTTTTTCTGATTTACTTCCAAAAGAGGCTTTTCTGAAATTTGGCCTGTGTACAGAACATCCCTTCTTCCTCGTAAAATGATGTTTACAATGATGACGAGAAAATGCATCTGCTTTTCTGACATTTTATCGGAAAAGCGGATGCGTTCCTTGACAAAGCCTAAGTCCCTTAACGCCTCTTAAATGTTAAATAAAGACTTTTAGGCTGGGGGTTTTGAAATATCTTCTTCAGATTAGGATCCTATCAAGAAATGTAGAAGACATAATAAAACTCAGTAGAATGGAAACACAAGATATATGTCACTGAAAGTGCTAACAACTTTCTGAGTGGTAGCCTTCCTGTCTTAGCAATCTATCTATTGACTTCTATCTTTATCTGCTTAGGTTTAGCACCCATTCTCTAGATACTTAAAGAAAAAACAGGAAGGGTGGTGGGAGACAGAGCATCATTCTCTTCCCCCACACCCCTTTTCTCTTCTTCTATTTATTTTGAAGTTTTCATATCCCCTATTCATAACTCCGGTTATCTGAAGAAATGTGTTTTGCCCACAAAAGCTCATGATACCATCTACATGTTTTGTTAGTCTATAAAGTGCTACGAGACCATTTTTTTTTAAGATATATGGAGTTCACCCACGGGTGAAATTCTCCACTTAGGTAGATGTACATGGCCTAGGTTTGCTCAAGCTAAGAGGATAAAATGAGCTGTGGGAACACGGCATCTAAGGCAGTCTCTTGGAATAGCCTCCTCTTTCTGTACCTAGGTTCTCAGATAGGGTTGGGCTTGGGTTAGGGTTAGGATTCCAGAGCCGGGAATCGCACTGTCTTGGTGCAGGTCAGACGTACTCCATAAGGTACGAACTAACACACCCAAGAGGCTGTGGTTTTCCTGGCTGCTGACACAGCTCTCCTGGATCACAGCAGATTCAAAGAAAAATGGGCATCTTTGGATAGATGTCACTAAGAAACAGGCAGACACAAAACACTCTAAATAGAACACCACCACCCAGTCTGTTTCCTTATCTTTGTTACCCAACTGTGTTTTGCATCGGTATCATGTGGATTTGCACAAGTGCATCTGTGATTTTTTTTTTTAAGGAACCGAAGGGAACTACGCACCTGACTGTCCTTGAATATCAAATACATTTGGGACCCTAGCAGGCTATTTGGAAATTCCTACTTTGAAGCCTGATGGCCTGACCTGCTCTTGTCATTCTATTTCTTGGCTGAAACAGTGAGGGGTTCCTTCACCCACATTGTGTGTCTGTGAGCCCTCTAAGCATTGCTGAAACAAAATACAGGACTATGCAGCACTTTAAAGACTAGCAAGATGGTTTATTAGATGATGAGCTTTCATGGGCCAGACCCACTTCCTCAGATCAAATAGTGGAAGAAAATGGTCACAACCATATATACCAAAGCATACGATTAAAAAAATGAACACACATGAAAAGGACAAATCAAATTTCAGAACAGAAGGAGGATGCGGGGGAAGGACGGGGAAGGTAAATGTCTGTGAGCTAATGATATTAGAGGTGATAATTGGGGAAGCTATCTTTGTAATGGGTAAGATAACTAGAATCTTTGTTAAGACCCCGGCATAAAGTGTCGAATTTAGCATGAATGACAGTTCAGAGGATTCCCTTTCAAGTGCAGATTTAAAAGGCTTTTGAAGCAGGATAGTGTGTCTAGCTGCCAAGCTACTCCTGCCATCGACCCTGGGAACTCTTGCCAGCTGCTCGTGGGAACCTCTTGTTTGCTATGGGGAGATCAGGGTTGTAATGAAGTCAGGTGTCCTCTTCCCCCACTTCCCTCTTGCCCATGAACACCACCTCTGAAGAGAGTGGGAGGAGCTAGAGAGCCCAGTGGGCGTGGTCTAAGCCTTCTGGTGTGAGTGCCTTGAAAAGACATCACATAGTGTCTCATAGACTTCTCCACCAGCCAGCGCACACCCAATGTCTCTGTTTCCCTCATCCATACCAAAACACACTCTCTGTGTCTGTGACGCACACACACACAATCTCTGGCTGACCCAGACACACACACCATCTCTCTCGCACTCACCTCCCATTGTACACTTCCTTGGTTGGAACATTGATTCTCTATAATTTTGTTCTTTCTGAGTTCTGTGATTGTCGTTTCTTGACTGGTCGATGCCCTTCATACTTTTCTTTCTCAATCGGGAGTATATTGAGTAGTGAGTTTCAAAATGCCTCATCTGTCCTCGATGGAGTGTTTATTTTGCTCATAAATTTTTCAAATATATATTATATCTGAGGGGGAGTTGTTTGTTTTGACTGGGGACATAGCTCTCCATGTTACCCTGATAAATGTGCGTAGAACAAAATTTATTCTGCACATGGATGAAAAAACGTAAAGGGGGAAATGGTTGGAGGGAGCAAGCGGTGAATGCTGGATGGGAAAGGTGGAGGTGGATCTCTGTATTGTGGATTATGAATATGGCACTGTTTATTATGAGAGTGGCCAGGGGAGATACAGACCCATATCATCTTTAGAGAAAATAACTGGTGCCTTTGCCCCATCTGGGGAATGTTGCAAAAATCCACTGACTGCCCCTTCAAGGAGTCTTTCCTTTCACTGCAAAGGACTTTGGATCTGGCTTCTGATTATCAGTTCCAAGATGACGCAGTACACGACCACAGTGAGCTAAAAATGTGTTTGCCCTATTTTCTCTATACTTATATGATGACACTTTATCCAGTAGGGGGCTGCTTGGTGATGGGAAGTTGACCCCTCGAGACATATCGATTATATGATGTGCACAAACCAGTCCAGCAGGCACTGTTCCCTTTTTCATTATATTGCAGCCAATACCATGAGGCTGAATGTAGATGAATTGTCTAGTAAATCATGTCACCCACCTGGAAACATTATAAAATGTCTTCCTGAGACAAAATAACAATGTCAGTCAAGTTCATTGATACAAACGACTAATTCTGAGCCAGAGGACAGACAGGAATAGGTTACAGGGAATGGATGGTTTGATGGTTACCTGTTTTGATCATTTCCTCCGGGGCACCTGGCATTGGCTTTTGCTGGAAGACAGGAATTGGGCTAGATGGACCTTTGGTCAGAGCCATTTGGACTGATCTTATGTTCCAATTTTGAGAAACATTCCCTGCTTTCTCTGAAGCCTGGTTTTCTATAGCCCACGAGGGACGGATTTCTTTGGGTGCAACATGGAACTCAAGTATCACTGAAACCTCTGATCACCCATCCGGGCCCCTTTCACACTGTGCTGCTGTGGCAAGCTGCAGACCTGCTGCTAGTCCTACACTTCCTCCAGCATTCACACAAGTAGGGACGCACCCAAGTACTTGCAGAATCTCAGACCAACCTCTGCATGAACCAACAGTAGAGAAGCTGCCGTAATGATAGCCACCAATTCCCCAGCCAGGGTCAGCAGTATTGCACAACCTAGACCTTTTGAAAACACCGAACCGTAGGATTTTGTTCCCTGATTTGCCCCGCCCTCAATGTGGAGAAGAAAGTGCGCACTTTTTCCCCAGGCACCTCACAGCAAGAGACACTGGTTTAGGTTAAACTACAAACAAGTGTATTAACTGCAAAGGATAGATTTTAAGTGAGTGTAAGTGGTAGCAAACAGATCCGAGAAGATAACCAGGAAATACACAAAATCACAAAGGAAACGTAACGCTTTGTTTAGTCTGGCAATGCAGGAGCAGTTTCTCACCTTGATACCAGCAAACTGGCAGATTCTCAAGACACAAGCTACATTGGCTTTGCTGCTTGGGTCTCTCCGATTTCTGTACACAGGGTGGAAATTCCTTTTGCCTGGGTCCAGCACTTCTCCCCCCAGGTCAGTTTTTGTTCCTCAGGTCTCCGCAGGAGTTCTCTTGCCTGGGGAGTGAAGAAGAACTGATGAGATCACTTCCTGCCTTATATAGCTGTACCACAGGGCGGGAACCCTTTGTCTGAAACATTGGAACCCAGACCAGTGTGCGGAAAAACACAGATTCCCCAGATGGAGTTTAGAGACAGGAGGCCTGGTCACCTGCCCCTGTAGAGTCCTACTGACCAAGCTCATCAGGTGGCAGAAAAGCTCCTCCTAAGGATGAGTGTTTCCCCAAATGCCTCATTAGCCTGAATAGGCCCTTCACAAACAACTATCGTGATGGCAAGTATCTTGCCTAGTGGGAATTATTCAGGTGTTCCTGCATTGGAAATATGCACACCTTTAGATGTGATAGTGACACATGCATTACATACGATAATCATATCCCGCAAATCATAGCGTTCAAATGGCACCTGGAATGACCCATCATGTGGAAAATACCTAAGTCCTTTGTAATCGTATCCTAAGAATATTACTATGTAGTAGACAATATGTGGAGTCACAGCATCCACATTCATTTCCATTCCTCCTGGACGGAGCAAGGAATCATATTCTTTGTGACACGATGGAAGATTGCTCAGGTATTTTGTCGTGTTGTTGTAAAACCTTTCACACTGATGTTCTATTGCCACCTGCGTCCTCGATCTAAACATTCAGGCTACGTCTACACTGGCCCCTTCTTCGGAAGGGGCATGCTAATTTTGAACTTGGGAATAGGGAAATCCGCGGGGGATTTAAATATCCCCCACGGGATTTAAATAAACATGGCCGCCGTTTTTTTTCCAGCTTGGTGAAAAGCCGGAAAAGAGCATCTAGACTGGCGCGATCCTCCGGAATAAAGACCTTTTCCGGAGGATCTCTTATTCCTACTTCAAAGAGATCCTCCGGAAAAGGGCTTTATTCCGGAGGATCGCGCCAGTCTAGACGCTTTTTTCCGGCTTTTCCCCAAGCCGGAAAAAAAAGCGGTGGCCATGTTTATTTAAATCCCGCGTGGGATATTTAAATCCCCCGCGGATTTCCCTATTCCCAAGTTCAAAATTAGCATGCCCCTTCTGAAGAAGGGGCCAGTGTAGACGTAGCCTCAGAGTTTTGAGCTCTGATCTTAGTCTTTCCACTATGTTATCCCATTTCTTCTACCTTTGACAGTCTTCAGTTATTTTGGTAAACTGAGCTGTGTATTCTCACCTGGATCTCTGGATCCAACAATGCTTCATGGTATATTTTGTTATCAATTCAAGTCACAGAAATCTATGTCTTCTATTGGTGGTAGTTTCCACTTCCTAACAGATGATGTAATCTCCATTGATATTTTGGCTGGTGGGAATTTGAAATCATTGCACAGAGAAAAGTTAATAATTACTTGTAGAAAGAGACAATAATGATAGGAGCACCATCTTTTTAATAAGATCAAAGGGGGAAGTTATGGAAATGTTTGATTCCAAGGGAAAATTATGGAGAGAAGAAAGCAGCTGACGGAAGCATCAAAGAAAGAGAAAAAAGGGACTATCCCATAAAAAAGATAATTAAGTCAGGCAGTGTATTTGATCTCAGTTGAAATCTCTCTTCAATTGATGTAATAGCTGAGCTGATATCTTAGAACAGGGCTGGGCAAAATACGGCCTGTCAGTTAAGCCACTGGATCCAGCCCACGTACGCAGCAAGGAACATCAGGCAGGGTCCTTGCTTTCCTTGGGCCCCTCCCGCACCGCTCAGAAAAGCAGCGGCTGCGGCGTTTTCTCTTTCTCACCTCTTCCCCCAATTGAGGCAGCTCAGGGGACCAGCAGGAACAATGCTGGCAGCAGGTGTCGACCGTCCCAGTGTTTCCAGATCACTTTGAATTATGATTCTATTCTCCAAAGCACTTGCAGCCCCTTCTGGCTTGGCATCATCTACAAACTTTAGGAGTCTTCTCTCTGTGCCAATATCGAAATCATTTATGAAGCTACTGAACAAAATCGGTTCCAGAACAGATCCCTGCAGAACCCCATGGCTACGTCTACACTGGCCCCTTTTCCGGAAGGGGCATGTAAATTTCATGAGTCGTCGTAGGGAAATCCGTGGGGGATTTAAATATCCCCCGCGGCATTTAAATAAAAATGTCCGCCGCTTTTTTCCGGCTTTTAAAAAAGCCGGAAAAGAGCGTCTACACTGGCCCCGATCCTCCGGAAAAAGCACCCTTTTCCGGAGGCTCTTATTCCTACTTCAAAGTTGCAAGACCCATGTTCAAAGTAGGAATAAGTAGGAATAAGAGCCTCCAGAAAAGGGCGCTTTTTCCGGAGGATCGGGGCCAGTGTAGACGCTCTTTTCCGGCTTTTTTAAAAGCCGGAAAAAAGCGGCGGACATTTTTATTTAAATGCCGCGGGGGATATTTAAATCCCCCGCGGATTTCCCTACGACGACTCATGAAATTTACATGCCCCTTCCGGAAAAGGGGCCAGTGTAGACTTAGCCCACATGTTCTGTCCTTCCAACATGACTGTGGACCATTGATAACTACACTCTCAGGGCATGTCTACACTCCAGCCTTATTTCGAAATAACTCACGTTATTGTGAAATAACAAGGTGAGCGTCCACACAGCAAGCCTGCTATTTCAAAATTATTTTCAAATAACAGGCTTCTTGTTCGGGAATAATAAAACCTCATTTCATGATGGATAACACCTATTTCAAAAAAGTGGGCGTGTGGACGCTCCATTGCTGCTATTTCGAAATAGCTCCTCCCCCAGGGCCATTCAAAGTAATTACTCCCCAGTGATACCTGGGGCTCTAAATCGAGATAGTGCGTCCACTTTAGGGAAGATTGACTCTGATTAATTTTGAGGCTTCCCTGGAGTGTGGACACGTGTCACAGGGTGGGTAACCCATCCCCACTCTGGGGAACCGGGCACAATGGCTCACCCCGTAGTCTAGCCCCAGCAAAAGCCCCTGGAGGCTGGGTGTACGGCTCCCGATCTCGTCCACCACATCCCTATCAGCGGGGTAGAGTGGCACAGTGGCTGAGTCTAATGCCATCTGTGGGGTAA